AAACATCTCTAGCTTTTTCAAATAATATTCTGTTCATGCGCTCTGACATCCCATTCTGTTCAGGAGTATAGCTATTGGTCTTCTGGTGTATAATCCTATATTTTCTTGAAATCTCTTGACATTTTTTAGAGCAATGCTCTCCACCATTATCACTTCTGAAATGCTTGATTTGCTTCGATATTTGGTTCTCAACTAAATTTGACAAACACTTCATCCTTGGATCGAAGAAAGTAAACATGTCATTCTTGTGGAATCATCTTCGAATAGAGGAAAATATTTTGAACTTCCTATGGAAACCTTCTCCATGGGTTCAAGCAAGTCAGCATGTATGACTTTTAGTCCTTTTTTTGCTCTGGTGCCTTCTTGGGGAAATGGCAACCTATGTTGCTTCCCTTTACAATAAATTGTGGAATTTTTCTTGCTGCACCTTACCTTGCCTTTGAAGTCTAACCCATCTACAGCCTTCTTCATTTTATTGAGTTCTGCAGAGTTAATGTGGCCAAACCTTCTATGCCAAGTTTCTCCAGAAGTTAGCAGGCAATAAGCACACTTATCAACATTAAAGGAGCATTCACATTCACTTCGTTGAAGTTAGATTTGACGTTTGATATTTTATCATTTACATTCCAGAATAAAGTTCACCTTATTCGATATTGGAAATTGAGAAAAAAACGTCAGAGTTATGGACCTGTGTCACAGAAACCTGTGTTGCCGCCATATAGCAAGCACGTCAATTTCAAGAAAAATTGGACTTCGAAGAGAAAGTTAATGCAGCATAAGCCTGTAAACATTCTGAACCAAATCAGCTGTTGCCACCAATTCTTCTTGACTGTTGAAAATTTGGCAGCCCTGTGTGTCAAATTTTATTGTATTGCCATTTTTGATTAATTGACCTATCTTTTTTTACCTTGACTGCGCGCGTAACTCGTGGGTTGCAGGTGAGCGTCCAATGAGAAGTGAGTTTGTTACGGGCTTGCGTCATATTTGTATTTAGGGGCGAGTTCAGAATTAATCGTTCCTTCTTTCTTTCTAACATGATTCGACAAAGAGCAAAAGAATACTTTACGTATTACTTCTGTCACCCCCGCAGTGTTGTTTAAGGTTATGTTAGATTATACATGACATATTCCTTTGCACTTTCATTGTGGGAAGTTGCCGGATGAAACATTTATAAAAATGAAAGTGCAAACGATGTAACCATACACTTTAAAACTCTTCTTTTAATGCGTTGTAAATTACTTGACACTATAGTACTTTTTTAATGGTATAATGTTCGATTTGTATTGTCTACATTTGTTCTGCAACAATACAATCTGGCTACACTGCAACCCACTAGTTTCGCGTGCATGTCATCTTTCATCACTTTCTAACTTGTATTCATTACAATTATAGCTTTTTGTATTTTTGTTGCAAGCTCTGGCACACAAACCACATTTTTGACAGAAATCTCAAAGATCCCATTCACACCTCGTTTTCAGACTTAAGGTACGGTTTGTTAGGATAGTACGCGACGCACAACTGACAACGTAAACGTCATCATTGGTTCAGGTATGACATACACCCGTCTTCTGACGTGAGAAAACGGGTGTACGTCATACCTACGGTCATACCTGAACCAATGACGACGTTCACGTTGTCAGTTGTGCGACGCGTACTCTCCTAACAAACCGTACCTTTACATCACCCATGCACTTGACTGGTACTTTTGTATCATTAGCCACTACTTTTTCCTTCAACTCACAGTTTGTAGATGAACGCTTGCCCCCGAGTTCACATACCAGTCGTCTGTCTTCAGAAACTGCCTGCTCAAAAAGACTGCACTAGAAGCTGTTACCCACAAAACCGATTGAAGAGTAAATAATAAAATTTGAGGAAGTGAGAGTGAACGGGTAACTAAAATAAAAAAAAAATAGAGAGGGTTGGTCGGTGGCTAAAATCTAGTAACGGGACTTCGTGTGAAGGGTTGCTGACTAGCTTCCAATGCGGAGAGGGTGTGGATCAATTAAATAATTAAATATAGAGCGCCACCTGCTTTTCCCTGCAGTACACGAAGTCAACCGATATAACGAAAGCAGGAAAATTCTACGGACCTATAACAGCACAACCTGAAATATAAAAGTAAACAAGAAGGAAGGACAGAAGTGAAACGTTTTGCTACAATCAGGTACGGGTTTTTAATTAGAACCAGAACAGATTTGAATCTAGAGTAGGTTCGGAGTGGGTTTTCCAAACGCCCTGGAACACTGAAAATTATTAACACTAGAACAAGAACAAAATGAATCGACTGAGTACCTAACTTTATGTTCTAAAAATAATATTTACAATAATTTAACTCAACTTGAGTCCCTAAATAAAGAAATAAAGAGTAGGAAATAGAGACACACAGAGAAGACAATTAAGAAAAACCACTTACTAAAATACTTTGGCCTTTAGGAACAAACAATTGATCACATTGCTCTTTTTCGGCTCACAAATAAATCCGCACAAGGAACTTTGGTGCTAAAATAACGGATTAGCCACCCTAGATCTATGAGCGAAAACTGGACAACTCAGAAATCAGCAAAATGTGCCTGAGGCATTTTCCCGAACACTTAATCGTGGAAAGTCCTCGACCTGAATGACCTCTGGTTGCGGCTATTTGCACCGTTACAACTTAAGAAATATTTAATCTCAGTAGAGCTTTGAATATGACTCTCGTAGAAACAAAAATCACATTCCTTAAGTGATAGCCGTGCAAATAGCCATCAGACAATCAGCTGTTCTAATGTAAATATTGTGATTTTGTTTATTAATAAATCAATTGACTATTTATTTCAACCCTACTAAAAGGAAATCAATTCCATTATTCAACCTCTAACTCAATGATTCTGGGAAGAATGAAAATTTGAAGAAAAGGTGGCCACAACTATTGGAAAGAAAACAGTGGCTTGACGAAGGTATGCTATTGTGAGGCGAATCCGCTTATTTCCTTTTATTTTGGCCCAGGAAAAATCAGCTCGTAACAATGTATGTGCAACTTTTGGCTTACCTACTTGTTTTACAAATTTTGCTGTTTAGATCTTGCTCACATGACACATCTTATTCTGACGGATTCTCATTTTTTATATAGATTTTTCCGTTTCTGCAATAGGCTGTAGTAAGCTGATAATTTTGCTGCTTGTTTAAAAAGAAGTTGATTTTAATGAGTTAGGTTCTCGTTAAATTAGATATTTTTGTCCATTCCATTCTAAGTTACACTCTTTTGAATATTTGCACTTTCAATTCTGTATCCTTCACCTTCGCCAATATTGGTGCAGCATTGGTTTCCTTGACTCTATAGCCTCTCAGGATGTTCTCACTCTAAAGTTGCCACTACTTTCTGATTCACTTTCCTATTTTGTTTTGCTTTTCCTTCTGATCTTTGTTGTTAACCCTGGTTTCGAGATTGAAAGTTTTATAAAACGTCACAAAAAACAAGGGGAGATAGGCTGGCCATCTGGCGAGAGACGATTGGGGGAACCTCCTTCATCCTCCAAAGATGCCCTAGAGAAACTAGAAAAACTGTTGTGTGATCCTAGGTGAGGTAGAGGGACAACTCTTAGAGACATGTAGGAGAAAGCTGTATACAAGCCGCCTAAGATTGTCTTCTGGATACAGTTGGAAGTGGCTTACATCCAGAAGTAAACCGAAATAGGCTGATACATCTATTTTTTTTAAATAGATTTGTAGGCTTAGAATTGTTAATTAAGTTTCATGTTGCTGTTGGTGAGATTTACAAAATGTTTAAAAACTTAAATCAAAACTACATCTACTAAAACAAGAACAATCAGAGGAAGTAATTGGCTCACCCTGAATTCTTATATTAGGTATATTATTGCATACGGGTGCCAAAAAACTCAATTTTGCCCAAATCTTAAATAAACATCAGCTCTATGCGACACGCCTAACGCGATCACGAACCTCAATCTAAAAACCTGAGCCTTATTTTTATAAAACTCGACATAAACAACGTGCTTTCGTCGAAAACCTCTGACAGTGGCCTTCGAAAAATAAAATTCGAGAGTTTGAATACGACTGAAAGTTTTCCGTTTTTGCACTCAAGACCGTATTATAAAGTTCTGCATTTGATGTAAGCTCACAAAGGCATTTAATATCGTGCATGAAAAATATTTTCATCAGACAGATTATAGCATCGCGTAGGATCTTAATTCTCTACTCTACGTTCTTATTGCCTATGGCTAAAAATAAACTAGTCGAAAGTCTCTTTGGCCCTTGAAATAGATGAAAATTTTAAAGTGGCCGAGGGATTTTGATTTTAAGATGTTTTCGGTTGAAAAAATACAAATTTATAAGCTTGTCCCTTTTTACTATCCTTTGTATACATATTGTCCTGCTTAGAACATAGGTATCTACGTTCTTTAAATTTTTCACATTGTAGCTACGTTAAAAGCCCGAGTGCTGATATAATATTCATACATGTTTGCCTTTATATTCACAAAAGAAATAGCTTGTTTGTGTTAAAATAATATTAACCTACATGTAGCTTGTGCATATAGATATTTGAGAACTGCATTTTTAGGTTTTTACTTGTTATTTTCTTGTAATGTAACTTTCCTAAACAATTACACCAAACTCAAATTAATGTTGTGTTGAAGGTAAAATCGAAGGAACTAACAACCGTTTGAAGTCACTTAAGTAATGTATTGTTTTAATTTCTGCTGCAAAAGCCTCGGTAATCGAGTAAATGGATATTTACTTGTCACCGACATTTAATGGGTTAATCAATGTTATAAATTTCAAAATAGTGGTAATCACTATTTGTACTGGTATAAATTTTATTCGATTACAAAATCTTTTATTGAAGAAAGTTTCCTTTGCATGAAAGGTTTTTCAATTTCAGATACCCAATAACAATTCTTTGTATATCTACTTGGGTAATTCAATTCAGATACATTACTATATCACAATTTGATATTCATAATAAGTTCTCAATCTACAATAATGTTGAAACTTTTTTCCAGAGAACCACCAACTTGGCTTAAATGTTGCACTCAACCACCACAGTCTCCAGAAGAAAAAGAGATTGAGTAAGTAACTGACTGTATCATAATATTGTTACTTTTACGGGTTCGCAGATAAGTGAGACTACTTTAACAAATTTTATTAAACACAATAACATAAAAACCACACGAAATTTAACACTACTTTACACTCCGAACTACTTCAAATAAAGCCTATACGGCACGATTTTTTCGAACGTGGTTATTGAGTTACTGACTTTACAGTTTACTGCACTTGTCGTACGTCAATCAGAACTGATCATTACGCGGTGCGCACCGGGGCTTTTATAGTTATGTGCGTCCTTTTCTAACACACTCGAATTTCCGTGATTCAGTTTATCTTGAACATAGTCGAATTTTCTGGCTTCTTTATAACACTGACCCCTTTCAGCTTATCCCAATCGCATCCAAGTCCTTGTATGGAGCGAGCCTCTCTATGTGAATGACCTTGGGCTTGGTTTAAGGTGTAAGTTGTATCCTGTATACCGTCGTTGATTTTCTTAATGACTTTGTATGTCTTTCCCATGGTCGTTGCAGTTTCGCACTAAGTCCCTTTCTTCGCTGTAGCTGATAGAACAAGACAGCATCGCCTTCATTAAAGGTGTTCAGTGACTGCCGTTGGTCGAGTCTCATCTTCATTCTGTCACTGGTCAGACGTAGCTTATTTATGGCGAAATCGTGTACCACTCTAAGTCTGTCCTGGAAATCAGCCACGTAAACTGGAAGTACAGCCTCGTCTTCATCGACTGGAGGCCTGCCAAACATTAAATCATATAAGCTTAATTTTTCTTCCAGTCAACAGCATAGATGGTGTATAGCCGGTGGATTCATATTGAGAGCTTCTATAAGCCAGAAGAAAAAGAGTTACTAGTTTATCCCAGTCTCGCTGGTGATCATTTACAAACATTGAGAGGTATTGATTGATGATCCGATTGTGCCTCTCGACCATTCCGTCCGACTGTAGGTGAAGTGCAGTCGTCCTCGTTTTTCTTACACCCAGTAACCTCATCAGTTGTTTCCATACTACGGACTCAAAATTCCTTCCCTGATAGGTATGAAGTTCCATCGGTGTCTGGATATGACGTTTTCCAGCAATGATTCCACAAGAGTAACTGCTTCCTGATTGGGTATGCGAACTACTTCTGGTCACTTTGAAAAATAATCCATAGCAACCATGAGGTACTTAGTCCCTGACTCCGTCGTAGGAAAATGACCTGCAATATCCACGGCAATTCTCTCCCAAGGGGAATCGGACACGTACTGCTTCATTTCTCCACGGGATCGCGTCTTGTGTCCTTTCTTAGAAGCACAGAGATCGCATCTCTTGCACCACTCTTCAACATCCCTACGACAGTTGATCCAATAGTACCTATCTCTTACTCAAGCCAAGGTCCTATTGACTCCAAAGTATCCGCCACTCCTACTACTGCGCAGTTCTTGAAGCACTCTGTTGACTGTTGGTCCGTCGCACAACGGTCTGATATACTAGGTTTTTTCCATCTGGACTCTCCCATTTACGAGTGATCAAGTCATCTCACAGACACAATGAGTCCCATTGCAGCCAGTATCCCTTCACCGTTTGACTCAAATTGGAAATTTCTTGCCATCCAGCCAGCCACACACCATTTTCAATTCCTTCTCTCGTAATGTCCTCATCAGTATTAGCGTCGTTGTCGGAATTCTTAAGCCTTATTTGTTGAACGACTCCAGAATTTTTGGTTGCCCCCTTTTCCTCTTGCCTTTGCCAGAATTTGCATGAGCTGTCAATATATAGTCTTCGTGATAGGCTGTCGGCGTTGGCATGACTCCTTCCTTTGCGATGTTTGATTTGGAAGTCATAACTTTGTAATTTCTAACTAACGCGCTATTTGACCCTCCGGATTTTTGAAATTGAGCAGCCATTGCAGTGCAGAATGGTCGGTTCTAACTAGGAAATTCCGGTCATAAGGAAAGCTGTGGTAATGTTCAATAGATCTTACTACTGCCAGAAGCTCTTTTCGGGTGACACAATAATTCTTCTCTGCCTTTCCAATGGACTTACTGAAGTATCCAATTACTACTTTTTCGCAGTATTGAATTTGGGAAAGAACAGCCTCTATTCCACTTTGCGATGCGTCGGTGTCTAACATAAATAGACCTTCATCCCTGGGATACGCCAGAACTGGAGGACTAGTCAATTTATTTTTCAGCTCCATAAAATACCGTTGACATTCAGGTATTCAATCAAAACGAGCGTTCTTTTCAGTTAGTTCATATAAAGGCTTCGCCATCTTCCCAAAATCCTTGACAAACCGGCGGTAGTAACTGCAGTGTTTCAGGCAGCTTCTAACTTCATATTTATTCTTTGGTCTCGGCCCATCTCGCACAGCTTGGACTTTATCTGGATCTGTTTCTATTCCTTTTGATGAGACGACATGGCCGAGGAAGTTTACTTTTTATTGGAATAGGAAACACTTCTTGGAATTTAGTTGCAAATTGGCACTTCGAATCTTAGCAAAAACTTCCTTCAAATTCGACAGGTGTTCGTCAAAATCTTTCAATCACCATGACATCATCAAGTTAGTCCTCGCGAAACTAACTCCATCAGTCTTTCAAAGGTGGCAGGTGCATTGCATAATCCAAACGGCATGACGTTAAATTGATATAGGCCGTTTCCTGCAGTAAATGCGGTCTTCTCTTTATCCTCTTTATTGAGTTCCACCTGCCAATATCAACTTGTCAAGTCCAGGGTTGAAAACCATTTGGATCCTGATAGGGTGCTAAGGGTATCGTCAATCCGGGGTAATAGATAGCTGTCTTTCTTCGTAATTTCATTCAACCTTCTATAATCCACACAAAACCTGGTAGAACCCTCCTTTTTCTTAACTAGTACGACCGGCAATGACCATAGATTCTTCTATGATGTTGTCCTTCAACATTTCCACCCATTAAAGCCTGATTTTTTTTTCGCATTTAAATAACAAAAACTAAGAAGATATATAGCCTGCAGAGTAATTGAAAAAAGAGTTTTTGAAAGATATTTATTAGAAAAAACATACTCTGAACATGTGACCATTTGGTTACACTAGGTTAATACAATACCACTGTTTTGATAATATGTTATTTTCTATGGAAAATCGCAAAACACTCAATACATAATCCAACATCACATTTCTGGCATTGTGTACGGCCAGCTGAAGAACATCCCTCTCCTGCGCACCTTCTACGCTTCTTGTTGGGTACGGGTACAATGTGATGATTTATCCGGTCGTATCTAACATAGTCGGAAATTATGTTTAGGGTTACGCTCTTTTTGCTCGTTGTTGGTCTATCGGGTCTCATAGGAGAATTTCCATATTTATTGAGGTACGTAGTTGCATCCTCACGACGAAAATTTGAATTTGTTATTGGCCTTTCAGAAGACTTGTACAGGATCCACGCACTATGCAATGCCGCATCAATTAGCCAGGTAAGTATAGGCCAATACCACTTTCTACTACGAATGCTTATTCGATATCTGAATAAATCTTCATCCATCCGATCCGTACCACCCATAAATTTATTGCACATCCCCACTACATGTGGACGCGGTACTTGTATAATCTTCTTCTCAGCCTGTGAATAGCGCTTTACTTGATGAATAGGATTTACGCCAAACGAAGTAGATGTCAGCATTGTCCATCCATCTAGTCAACATTATGCCATCTTCCTTGTCGATTTTTGAAACAGAATACCCTCGATTTTTCTTCGACATTGCTTTTTTATCTGTAACGGGAAAATCTTTGGGGATTCGACTTTCTCTAACAGTAACCTAACTCCATACCCTTTTTCTTTCAAATAGGCTAATTGAAGCCAGTGAAAAGGTTATCCACATATATTTGGTAGAGAAGTTTCTTTTCAGGTAAACTGTCTAACATCCAAACAAGAGGAGCAGCAGCTTGACCTAACGCAGCTTCGTAATCGTCGTTTGAAGTTGGACTTTTTCCCTGATAAATGGTAAAGTTGACCAAGTAGCTGTTCTTCGAATTCAAGCACCATATTTTGTACCCGAATTGAATAGGTTTTCCTCGGATGAACTGCTTACAATGATGACGTCCATAATATTTGACCATTGATTCGTCGAAGTTCATATTTTCGGTTGGTTGGGGATATCTTGAAAATGAACTTTGAAGCTTGCTTACAATTGGTTTCAATTTCCACATTTCATCTTTTGGGTCCATTTCAGTATTATCTGCGCAGTGAAGAAAACGCATTATTTGAAAAAATCTGTCGCAACGCATTGTTTGTTTTATCATTTCGTTGGCCATATCATTACCGGAATCCCAATAGAAACGTTTTCCAGGGAGAATATTATAACCTGAAATTATCATTATTCACAGAAAACATTTTAGTTCCTCAACAATAACCTTCGGATTTGTACAATTCAAGAAAATAGCATATTTTTTTGATTCTTGCAATATATACATTAGGACTAGTTGGGTTTTGGAAAAGTCGACGAATGAATAAGATCTTCATTTATCCATGTTCTGTTGGTATACTTCTTTCCCTTCAATGATTTGAGAAAAATATCTCAACTTTCCATATTATCATCCATGGGAATCCCTTCATTCTTCTCATTCATCTACTATTACATCATCTTCTTCTGCGCGTCTGCCAGAGGGCACAGGTGAACTTCTGTCATTATTCGAAAAGTGAACTTCAGCACTAGCAGGTAACTGGCGACCAGACAAGTTATCCACCAATCCACCTTCATCTTCGCGCGTCGGCGGAATCCTCATCTGTTGAAATATTTGGGTCTGGAGGGCAAATATATATCTCGGATACTTCATCTTCGTTACTATAAACTATATCCAAAGCTTCTTTCAGCGAAAACCCTCTCCAGGAAAAAAATAAATAAATCTTCTTACATTGACCTAGTGTGACCATATACTAACAAGAAGACATATGTGCCCACAACAAACTAACTTTTAGGCTAGATGATTCAATATTTCAGGGTGTGAATTCATTATTTAGTGACATAATCTTTATACATAAAAAAATTTCTGCTCGACGTACAATATAAAAAAATACTTACTCGAACCTGGGCTCCATATTTTTAACAAACTCTCAAATTCAAAACAACGTTACACTTTCAATATTCAAGCGGAATGGATATAACTCATAAAAGTCACTACCAGGGACATCTAGTAGCGAACCATCCAACTGAATGAATAATTTCACCAATGACGTTCATTTCAGCAGTCTTTGACAGGGAGCGTGTTTGTGTGACCAAATGGTTACAGTAGGCTTTGATGGGTGTATGGTGCTAATTTGCTGTTGCTTTGCGAAAGTGAGTTTTCGTGATGGTTGGCGAATGGGTGTAGCACTTCCTGTGTTGATGCGATGATCTACCAAATTAGTTCGTCCAGTAATTTTATCTTGCACAAAAACACCAGCCTCTTTCTGCACAAAGTCAATAGCTTTCTTCTTTTATTGCTGGCCTAAGTGATTCCAGCTCTTTTCAAACTTCTCCAGAAGCTCTATTGATAAATATGCTTCATTTGACACAGGCACCTTCTTTGCGCATCTGACTACTCGTATAGCTGGTGTACATATGCCAATGACGTCTCCTTTCTTCAATGTCACACGGTTTGTTGTAAGATTGGCCACTCTCACTGGAAAAACATTGTTGGAATTCACTGAGCAATATGCCACAAGTTTTCCATTCTGCATGTTTCCTGTTGGTTCCACGATCATGGTGATCACGCCTTCTAGCTGTTTTTCTAGGTGTGCCCGCACATTCAACTCACTATTTCCAGGAATTCGTGTATCTTCATCATCGATTATTTTAATTTGACAGTCCTTATTTGACGGTGATGAGAAGAGTATTTCTTCGTTGCCCACTCTCTATGCCAGCAACTATCACTTCTACCTTAAGGTCGGTGCTGCCGATTCCCAATGTCACGGTGGTCTCTCCAAAAATATTTATCAGATCTCCCCTAGCTGTTTCTAGCAGCATTCAACATCATTACAGAGTCCTTAGAAACTTTGTTGGGGCGAACCACTGATCTTGATGCCCCTGTGTTGATGGTCAAATCACATTTCTTCCGTTGAAGGTGCCTTGGGCAACGAGACTTTCACAATTCTTCTTGATGGAGAACACCCTTACTTTGGGGGCTCGAGAATCGATGGTCGCCAGCATTCGACCCTTTACACTGGCGAGGTGGTTTTTCCCTGATGATTTCTGGAACCACCTTCTTCCTCCGCTTCACGATCTCCTGAGCGGGAACGTCGCCTACAGTTTCTGCTAATATGTCCTTCTCGGCCGCAGTCGTAGCATTTGATCTATTTTCTGGCTCTTGGAATAACTTCGAGCAGAATTCCTGAAACAGCGCCTCCAGTTTTAGGAACATATCTGCGTCTGAGTTTGGGCGATCCTCTGCTATCTTCACTCCCCTGATCTTGCTTCTTCGATTTTAAGAGGTATTTTTGGCAGCTTCATATTCCAATGCATGGACAACGGTGTCAGCTAACGTGTTATGCCTACTCATTCGCAGTGCTTGTTGCAGGTCTGTATCTTTTACTCCATCGATAAAATACTGGACATTTATCTTTTGAATGAAGTCTTCAGGAGCTTGTGAATACGCCAATCTCACCATTCTCCCGATGTCGCTACTAAATTCCTACAGTGTCTCAGATGGACCTTGGACTCTGCTTTTGAGTTGACTCTGGTAGACTTCACTGAGATACCTGTTTCCGTACCCCAGCTCTAAGGCTCTTACAAAACATAATCACTTTGTTTTGCCTCGGGAATATTTTGAAGAATTACAAGCGCCTTTCCTCGAAGTGCAAGTACCAATGATGTTGCTTTTTGCTGGTCATCTCATCCATTTGCACTAGCAGCGGCCTCAAACTGTCGTTTATCCATGGACCATGATGTTTTGCCGTCAAAAGTTGGTGGTTTGAGTTGGCCGCGTACGATTGGGCTCACCGATACATCCATTTTGCGGGTTCTTTCGTTGATATTGGGTTCTTCGCGAATTTTCTCCATTTTCTTTTCCAGTTTCCTTTATTTCTTCTCGAATTTCTCTCGGATCGTCCTCATTTCGCCTTTGACTTCTTCTCGATCCGTTTCTATTTCGCCTTTGACTTCTCGAATTGTTTCTATTTCGCTTTTGACTTCTTGTTGGATGTTCTGGAACAACCCAGGGATCCTGTCAATATCCCTCTGTCATCTGTCTTCCTGTTTTTGCAGAATTTTCTGGAGCCGGTCTTGCTCTTGCTGTCGCTTGTCCTCTTCTTTCTGTTTTTCTTTAAGTCGCCTATCTTCTTGATCTTGAAGGATTTTCTGTAGTCGGTTCGATTCTACTTGTCGCTTGTCCTCTTGTTCTTGAAGGATTTTCTGTAGTCGGTCCTGTTCTTCTTGTTTTTCTTTTGCTCTCTTCTCGTCCGCAAGTGTCAACAAAGCGAGCACCTGGTTTAGCTGTTCTTTCATTTCGTGTTTTCTCCTATATATCATAAATGCAAATTCCTTCACTCACTTATCCCACTTCTGACACCAATTGTTACTTTTACGGGTTCGCAGATAAGTGAGACTATTTTTTTGAACTTTAACAAATTTTATTAAACACAATAACATAATAATCACACGAAATTTAACACTACTTTACACTCCGAACTATACTCCAAATAAAGCTTATACGGCACGATTATTTTCGAACGTGGTTATTTAGTTCCTGACTTTACAGTTTACTGCACTTGTCGTACGTCAATCAGAACTGATCCTGACGCGGTGCGCACCGGGGCTTTTATAGTTATGTGCGTCTTTCTCTAACACGCTCGAATTTTCGTGATTCAGTTCATCTTGAAAATAGTCGAATTTTTTGGCTTCTTTAACTGAAATTACAGGGGGCAATCAAAAAGTAAGAGTGGCGGGTCTATAACAATATATTAAAAAATAGAGATTTTAGTTTTCACCTATTGGTCATTTCGTTTACTTAGAATACATAAACATGCAATGTATCCTGTAGGCATTTAATATATTCATATTTTTTTATAGTATTTGCGATATAAATGGAAGGAGAGAAGGAACTGCAATGATAACTATGGTGGAGACAATTCCAATGATTAAAACGCATTCCATCAGGTATGGGTTAAATACCTACACTTCACTTGACTTATCATAATTTTTAACATTCTGACTCTCACTCGTATAATAAAATAGAAATGTCAATGCATTTTTTACAGTTATTTGCAAAATAATCTCAAGAATAACCAAAGTTCTCTGACCTTTAGCAATGGTATCGACACAAGACAAATTAAAGACCCCAACTCCACAACAACTACAGCTGTAGACGCCTAATTGAAATAAGAAGTAAAATATTACTAGATAATATTATTTTTTTTTTGTATATTCAACCGCCTAATGTGATGTGTAATTTTTGATATTTAACTTAATGCATTTATATCGTAGTGTAATGAATTTATTACAAGAGATGACAGTGATAAGTGTAAATGCACAAGTAAATTATATTGTTTCTTATTTCATCTTACAAAAAAGTACAGTGTGATTGTATAAACTACAGCTATTTAAGATGCAAATTATAAAACTATATTGTGTAAGATGTTTTAGGTATGGATGATAAAAATATCGTGTTTTCATGATAACATTTCTTGTATGTCATTGCACAAATTTTTCATTCATCCACAGCAAATATACTTTCTGTATAGTCAATAATATATCTCCTATTGTAAAACTATAGTTAAGTTTTGTCCCTCTGTGTAAAATTCATAAAAATATTTTTTATAATGTTTTATGTCTGAGGTATTTACTTATTATGGCACAAGAACAATATTATAATAATACGCTTTGATTATAATTATAATTATAATACATTTGATTTAGAATCACCTACCTATAAGTATTAGTATATTAAACATTATCTGTTAGATGCTTTATCACAAAATTATTAAATATTAACGTTTCTCTATATAAAAAAGACTATATTTTAAATTTAGGTAGATACTTAGGTATTTTTTAAATTGTATATTATTAATTTTTAAAATTCTTAAGTTTTTTGTACCTGAGAATATATTTTTACCTGATGTTAGATATTAATTTAAGGCATAATTTACTTAATATATCATATTTTTTTTATGTACATTAATTTCTTGTTATTTTGGTCTGAAAATATGGAGTTTCGGATAAGATGTAGAATTCGTAAATAAGTGGAAACGATAAATAATTGATCAGGAACTTCTGAGTAATGTTATAATATTTCTCATAAATATTATGTTTTGTATTAGAGGTTTAATGATGGATGAAAATCGAAATTGATAAATTATTGAACGCGGTTTTAATGATATGATAGTTTTTTTTCCAAGTAACACAAGGCCAAAAGTTCAATCAATGGAAAATTATCGAGGAATCTTTAATTTGAAATTGAATAAGTGATGTGAGGCACAGAACTTTTTCTCCTAACCATTAATTACTTTGTACAATGGTTTCGATTCAAGTTGCAGGAGAATTAAAAAATAACTAATATTTTTTTTCTACATAATGAGCAGGTATTATGTATGGTATTATCCTTCTTTCCACCAATTTCAACATACCAAGTTTTCATTCTAGAATTGCTTACCTCAAAAAAGTCGTCCTAAACTATATAACTAGTTTAGAATAATTTATTCTCTGGAGCTCTCCCTTTTAGGATTATTCAACCTGTATCTGCTAGATTCTTAATCAGCTTTATCTACCAAATTCTCGCTTTCTAGCATTTCTCCCTTTTTATTCTTATCAGATGTGAATAATCATAAAACTATTAATAAGATAAGGGTTTAATAGTGTCAGTACTTTAGCATTAACAATTCGACGCTGATCAAAACTCCCTATGAGTTGCTCTAGAGTGGACTCACTGGACAGCAAATTTCAACAATTCCTTATTATCTGTTGATAAAGCTAGAAGTTAACGGATAACTAAAACTCTTGCAGAACTATGTAAGTCACAACAATTAGGAACTCATATCCTGCTGTTCCTCTTACTCAGAGGCTATTAAAATTTTGGATTCAATGTTCATAAAACCTAAAAATTAAATATTTGCCAGACACTGCCTTACCTCCAGGAAGCAGCAACCTAAAGAGACTGTTGATCAGTTCTTACAAGCACGGAAACATCTAAGTAAGGACTGCAACTTCAATGCTGTCTGAAGACAGTCAAAACCATTTTATTAGCGATTCTTTCATTAGTGGCTCAAGCTCCTCCCAAATTCGTCAGCGATTGTTGGAAAATACCAATCTGAAGCTTGATGAAGCCAAGAATCAAGCTCTATCTCTAGAATCGTTACACGAACATTCAGAAGTATATAGCATCTCTCAAGTAGTCAATAACTTAATTCAGTCCAGTAGGGATGAAGACCCTCGCACAGTCTTAAATATCAGGGCATTGTTTTGTAGATTTAGGAATTATGGAACATAAATACGGAAAATTACGTTTATCAGTCTTTCCGATTTATGTGCTAATGTCATTATAAGTCATGATATAATTACACGGTATTCAACCCTTGAAGTATTTTTTGGAGGTTCTAACTCATCCTTGTCTATTGACAACTTCTCATTGATTTGTAGTTTGGCGTTCCTTAAAACTGATCCTCCAACATTATTTCCAAATCTATCAGCAGACTGTAGGCTAACAGCAACAAAGTCTAGACATTACTAACCAGAAGATAGACACTTCATCATTTCTACTGAAATAAAAATCCTTTTTTGAAATGAAATCATAGAAAAAAGTAGGTAACTCTTTTTGGCAAGGACAGGTGTTGGTAACAAAAAATGAAACGCACAAGAAAGGATGGAAGTCGATTACTCTCAAACCATTAACAGGTTCACATTGTGGCGGCTTCAGCTGCTCTCCGCTCTAGAACGGTTGAGCACACCTCACCACATTTAAAAGTACCTGAAGAGACAGGCCCGTTCAACAGGAAAAAAACACATGTTTTCTCCCTTGCGCAAGGGCGCCTTGCATCTCCTTCAAAAAAAAAGTAAAATAGACTCTAGTTAGTACAAGTACAGCTTGGAACCCGCTCTATGTCGGTAGCAGAAACAAATTGCTCCGAATGGAATTCGAAATAAGATTCTAGAATGTAAAAGTAAATAAGTACTTAGTGCTCAGATGTGTTCTTTTATGTTTGAAAGTACAAAAGTGTTGCTCGATTCTCATGGAGCAGAACTTTTTTATTATTTAATTTGTGCTGGTGTTTACAATTTCGAAAACAAATCTTTAACTCACTTAGGTTGCATTGTTGCTGGTAATGTGCCCTCCAATTGTGTTGCTCTCCTCTCCAATAATGTAACACTTTCCTCTGAATCTCTGGCATCCAAACAGCCTCAGCTATTGCTCACATCACTCATGAGGATAAAATTTCGCTTTTTGCTCAAACTTTTGAATTTGATCAAATATTATTGAAGTTTTGGAAACTCGAAGAAATATCCGAAGAAATTCCCTTGTCCCCTGATGACCAATTATCAGAAAAAATATTTAACAACAAGAATTTTGCCGGATGAATGATGCCAAGTGAGCATATTAAGCTGGGCAGCTCAGAATTGCTGAGAAAAGATTTCTGTCTCTTGAAAAAAGATTTCAAAATAATCCCAAATTACATACTTTTGGAATACAAAAACTTTATAGACGAATACATAGATGTTGGTCACGCTAGGTATGTCCCTTTATCTTTAATAAATGAAATGAATGAGAACAAATATTTCATACCTCACCTATGTGTTATTAGGGAACAAAGCACTTCACCGAAACTCCGTGTCGTCTTCGATGCCTCTACAAAATCATCAACTGGTATATCACTTAATGATGTCACTCTCAAAGGTTACCAACTTCAACCGGAGTTATATGATATTCTATGTAGATTCATAGCTTCTGAATTTGTGCTAACTTGTGACACACAAAAAATGTATACACAAATTAAAATCAACCCCAAACTTAACTTCCTACAGAATATTCTGTGGCGAGACAATTCAGTGATATATGGCACCAATTTTGCACCTTTTGCTGTTACTCGTGTCATTAAAGATGTCGCTCTATCCAATCAAGAAAAATACCCTTCAGCTTCTCAAGCTTTATTATTAAAATTTTATGTAGATGACATTCTTTGTAGTTGTGATTCATATAGAGAATTGGAAATTCTATACACAGAACTAAACGCTGTCCTTAATGAAGCAGGATTTACTCTGCATAAGTGGTGCTCAAACTTTCCTGATTTTTTGAGGAAGATATCCGAAGAAGTGTTAATCGAATATGACTTAGATTTTGATGACACTCCCAATAAAGGATTGAAATGGTTACCAATTAATGACGTATTCATAATTTCCAATCCCCAATTAATTAAGAATGACTCTGACAAAAAGGCAAATCCTTATCTTAGGATTGAAATGGTTACCAATTAATGACGTATCTATAATTTCTAATCCCCAATTAATCCATCATCATGGAAGTCTGCCGCAGTACAACCCATTCCAAAGAAAGGAAAAAAGACAGATCCGTTAAACTATAGACCAATTGCTCTACTTCCGGTGATATCAAAAGTAATGGAAAGAGTTGTGAACAATCACCTAACCAAGTACTTGGAAAAGTACAAAATTATCAACGATAAGCAATACGGATTTCGAAAATATAGGTCAACTGGCGATTTACTTACATACGTCACTCACTTATGGCAAAAAGCGATTGAGTTGCGGGGTAAAACAAGAACAATTGCCTTAGATATATCTAAAGCATTCGACAAAGTTTGGCATGAAAATCTGCTCAACAAGCTCAAAGCAATGGGATTATCGCCGAAACTTTGCACTTGGTTTGAAAGTTACCTAAAGGACAGATCCATTTATGTTGCACTGGATGGCCAGAACTCCAACTCTTACCAAATAAATGCTGGTGTGCCACAGGGAGCAATCCTCTCGCCAACTCTTTTCCTGATTTACATAAATGACCTCATAGATAAAACAGTAAATCCACTTTGTTGCTTTGCAGACGATGGCAATGTAGTCTCCTCACTCATACCACCCACAGGTCTTTCCGCACGTGAATTCCATCATCTTAGACTAACTCAAATATCGCAGATAAATAACGACCTGGAGATAATAGAGGACTGGGGTAACAAAAACCTTGTACAGTTCAACGCGCAGAAAACCCAAGCAGCTCTGTTTTCAAAAAAGACCAGCACCGGTGAGCCAAACATCATGCTATCTGGAAGTGCTGTCACATTACAGAGTCAGTTGAACATCTTGGGGGTTACTGCAGAGACCAACATGTCTTGGCACAGTCACGTGGCAGATATTGCTAAAAGGGCCTCCCAAAAGCTGGGGGTGCTATTTCGTACAAGACATCTGTACACACCAAGCCAATTGCTGACACTCTACAAAGCCCAGATTCGACCAACTGTGGAGTACTGCTCACATATATGGAGTGCAGCACCCAAACATACCTTAATGCTTTTGAATACCGTGCAAAAACGAGCTATCAAGCTGATCAATGACCTCGCACTTACTCGTAACTTGGATAGTCTCGAACATCGCAGATCTGTGGGCGATTTATCTCTCTTCTACAGGTACTATCACGGAAAATGCTCTGTAGAGTTGGCACGTATGATTCCACCGAGAGTAGCACCTACCAGGCGAACCCGTCAAACAGACGGTAACCATGAATTTACTGTCAAACTAGAGGCACCAAGAACCTCATTATATCAGAATTCATATCTCTGGAGAACAGCATCGCTGTGGAATAAACTCCCTGCGACGGTTTTCCCTGCAGGTTACAACCTGAACCGTTTCAAGACCAACATACACCGACATTTCCGCGCACTTGCCGCTTCTCGAGCGTGATAGGACATTTCCTTGCGAGTGCGCATATCCGTAAAAAAAAAAAAAAAAAATTATGACAAAAAGGCAAATCCTCTTTTTTTTGCTCAATGCTTTGATCCTCTCGGTCTTGTAAATCCAATTATTGTCAAAGCGGAGATCCTGATGCAGAATTTGTGGATAAAAGCGTTAGATTGGGACACAGTAATTATTGATGAAGATCTCTT